AAACAACAAAAAAAAAACGCTCCTAACCAGGTGCTGGTGGCTCACACCTGTAATCCTAGCTACTCAGGAGGATGAGATCTGAGGATCATGGTTCAAAGCCAGCCAGGGCAGGAGAGTCCATGAGACTCTTTTATCTCCAATAAAGCCACCAGAAAACTGGAAGTGGCACTGGGCTCAAGTGGTAGAGTGCTAGCCTGGAGCTGGAGAGCTGATGGACAACACCCAAGCCCAGAATTCAAACCCACAACCAACCAACCAACACATACACACACACACACACACACACAGAGAGTTCCTCACAGTTCACCTCACAGTGCACTCAGATTAAAAGAAGAGTAGGGTTCCAATTGGTCTGGACACCTAGCAAGGGCTCAGCCCACTGTTTGTTGTTTTTTGGTTGGTCATGTGGCCTGAACTCTGGGCCTGGGCGCTGTCTCTCAGCTCTTCAGCTCAAGGCTAGCGCTCTACCACTTGAGCCACAGCACCACTTCGGCTTTTTCTGCTTCTGTGGTGCTGAGGAATCGAACCCAGGGCCTCATGCATGCAAGGCAAGCACTCTACCACTGAGCCACCTTCCCAGCCCCCCACTATTCATTTTCCTTTGCCTACCATCCTAGCATCTGCCTTCAAAAGGCAAGAGGAAAATTCACATGGCCCAAGCCAGTCCCACTCCGTAAGTGGATCTCCACACTTGGATCATTTGAATTAATCTGATCAGCCCTATCTTTCGTCTTAGTGGTGTTGGAAGAAACTTGCCAGGGTCTAGACCCTGGTAAAGGACAGGGATTTGTCAGATTAGCTCAACCACACACCCTATCCCCCTCGCTGCCATAGGACCACCCACCCCCAACCCTGGCTGCCCAAAAACCATACGGAGAAGCCACCCTATTTGTGTGGTGCTATTTCATCCAGCTATAAGCAGGAGCCAGGAGGCTGGCCCCTCCTCGATCTCACTAGGGGCATCTGCCCAGCGGCTGTATGGGCATGTGCCTGCTCCCACTGTGCCCCCTCCACTGTACCCTCTGGCTCAGGATGGGCCATCATGAACGCTTGAGCCGCCCGGATCAAGTCCTCTTCCCGAAGGCCTGGGACGGGTACTGTGGGAATGCCAGCGATCATCATGGCCAGGGTGAGAATGCAGATGTCGGGCTGGGTGCCAGCCTCCTTGCCCCCTGGCTCAGGGGGCCTGGGCAGAACCCCCGGAGACAGCCCCCACAGCAGCACGGGCCCAGGCCTGCTGGGGCCACCCTGGCGGGAAGCTTTGTTTCTGGAGTTGCCATCCTCCCAGCCCAAGCTCTCAGGCTGCCTCCCAGGGGAGAACTGGGGGCAGTATCGGCCGTATTCCTTCCTCCGAAGTGTCTCCCAGCTGGGGCCCCCGGGGCAGCCCCTTGTTTCAGGCACTGCCAGGGTGGGGCTCCAGGCTTGGGCAGCAGGTACCACCTGCTCAGCTTTTTGGCTCAGTGGGCCTAGTCCACCAGAAGCCATCACCACTGGCTCTGCAGGACCAGAAAGGCCAAGGGATGAACCGGGAGAAGCAGCCCCACCTGCAGAGACAGGAATGAGATGGGATGTTATTCTTGGTCTCAGAGGAACAGGCCCTGAGGGGCAGAGTGTGGGCTCAGAAACAATTGAGAACCAACCCAAGCACTATTGGCTCTGCCTTTAATCCTAACTACTCGGAAGGCTGGAGTTTTGAAGCCAGCCCCAGCGGGAAATTCCAGGAGACTCTTACTTCCAAGTAACCCCCCAAAAGCCAGAAATGGAGCCATGGCTTAAGTAGTAGAGTGCCAGCATTAAGCAAAAGGAGTTAAGGAGCTGGGCACCAGTGGCTCATACTAGCTACGCAGGAGGTTGAGATCTGAGGGTCATGGTTCAAAGTCTGCCCAGGTAGGAAAGATTCTAATCTCCAAGGAACCACCAAAAAGCCAGAAGTGGAGCTGTGGCTCAGGTAGTAGAATGCCACACGAGCAAAAAAACCTCAAGGACAGCACCCAGGCCCTGAATTTAAAAAAAGGCTAAGGGACAGTACCTAGATCCTGAGTTCAAGCCATAACACACGCACACATACAACACGAACACCCAAGAGGACTTGGGTTTTGAGGTTCAGAACTGTTGTTGCTCATATCCAGTTCCTACACTGTGTGGGTGATGTTGGATAAATAAATAAGCAAATGGGTAGTAAGTAATTGGCAATTTCAACATGGCTTGATTCCAAGGCTAGCCCAAAAATGCCTGGCAAAACCTCCACCTCCCGGGAGCCTGTCTCACCTGGGCCAGAAGACAGACGACCTGGATGGGTTTGTGGAGACATGAAGTAGGACATGGCTTCTCCAAAGCTCCTGTTTGTGAGGGAATAGTCCTAGGTCCACTACCCTACTTTGTCCACCCTTCTAGAATGTCATCTGATAGTCCCTCCCTTTTACACCGACTGGCAAGCTACCTCACAGCACTGACCAACTCATTCTAGAACCTGTATATGATAATGGGAGGGTGTTAAAATCACTGGATGAGACCTGAGTATTCTAGGCCTTTGTCTGTATCGTGGGCAAGTCTTTCAGTTTGTTTGATTTGTGTTTTGGGGTGTTCTTTTGTGTGTGTGTTTTGGTTTGTCACGGGCCTTGAACTCAAGGCCTGGGCGCTGTCCCTGAGCTTTTTTTGCTCAAGACTAGCATTCTACCACTTTGAGCCAAAGCTTGACTTCCAGTTTTCTGGTGGTTAATTGGAGAGAAGCATCTCATGGACTTTCTTACCCAGGCTGGGTTTGAACCGCAGTCCTTAGACCTCAGCTTCCTTAGTAGCTAGAATTACAGGCATGAGGCACCAACACCTCGACATATTTTTTAATTTGTTTTGGGTTTTTTTTTTTTTTTTTTTGCACTGCTAAGGATCTAACCCATGGCTTTGTGCATGCTAGGCTTAAGCTCTACCACAAAGCTGCCTCTCCAGCCCACCTAGACTGTCTTGTCCCTCAATATCTACCTCCCTGGAAATTGTGAGGACCAGATGTGAGAGGCTCTCTCTGTGAGACCCGAGAGGACCTGGCTGTCAGCCACAATTAGATAAGATCATCCATTCAAAAGCTAATGGTGAGAGACACTAATAAAAGAATCCAGCCAGTGCTGAAGCACACACCTGTAATCCTAGCTACTCATGAGGCTGAGATCTGAGGACTGTGGTTTTGAATCCAGCCTGGGCAGGAAAGTCTGTGAGACTCTTACCTGAAATTAATCAGCAAAAAGCTGGGAGTGGAGCTGTTACACCTCTACCCTGCGGGCTGTAAGGCCCTGAGTTCAAGCCTCAGAACTAGAACAACAACAACAACAGATAAATGAGGAAGCTAGAGTTTTCCACCCTGTAGTGTGAGACACAGAGTATACTTCATTCAATCATTGTTACTTGACACTGGACAAATACATGTTTGTCTCTGGGCCTCAGTTTTCCCTCTGCAAAATTAAATGTTTGCTCTCAGGCACTGATTCTCAGCTTAGGCCATACAGTAGAATTTCCTGGAAGCTTTTTGCCATTTTTTTTTTTTTTGGTCCAGTTGTGGGGCCTGAACTCTGGGCCTGGGCACTGTCCCTCAGCTCTTCAGCTCAAGGCTAGTGCTCTACCACTTGAGCCACAGCGACACTTCTGGCTTTTTTTTTTCTTTTTGCTTATGTGGTGCTGAGGAATCGAACCCAGGGCCTCAGGCATGCAAGGCAAGCGCTCTACCACTGAGCCACCTTCCCCGCCCCAGCTTTTTGCCATTCTGATGGATAGCCTCACACCAGACAAACCAGGATCCTGAGTATCTTTTTTTTTTTTTTTTTTTTTTTTGTCAGTCAAGGGGCTTGAATTCAGGGCCTGTCCCTGAGCTCTTTGTCCCAAGGCTAATAATGCTCTAGCACTTTGAGCCACAGTGCCACTTCTAGTTTTCTGCTAGTTAATTGGAGATAAGAGTCTCACAGACTTTCCTGCCCAGGCTGGCTTTGAACAATCCTCAGCCTCAGCCTCCTGAATAGCTAGGATTCTAAGCATGAGCCACCAGCACTGGGCTGAATATCATATATATATATAATATATATGTATTTATTTATTTATTTATTTTTATTTTTTGCAGGTCATGGGGCATGAACTCTGGGCCTGGGTGCTGTCCCTCAGCTCTTCAGCTCAAGGCTAGCATTCTACCACTTGAGCCACAGTGCCATTTCCGGCTTTTTCTGCTTATGTGGTGCTGAGGAATCGAACCCAGGGACTCATGCATGCAAGGCAAGCACTCTGCCATTGAGCCATCTTCTCAGCCCCAGAGTATCATATTTTTAAGCTCTTTAAGAAACTATATGTGCCGGGCACCAGTGGCTCACGCCTGTAATCCTAGCTGCTCAGGAGGCTGAGATCTGAAGATCACGTTTCAGAGCCAGCCCAGGCAGGAAAGTCTGTGAGACTCTTATCTCCAACTAACTACCAGAAAACCTGAAGTGACACTGTGATTCAAGTGGTAGAGCACTAGCCTTGAGCTGAAGAGCACAGGGACAGTGCCCAAGTCCAGAGTTCAAGCCCCATGACCAACAAAAAAGGAAAGAAAGAAAGAAAGAAAGAAAGAAAGAAAGAAAGAAAGAAAGAAAGAAAGAAAGAAAGGAAGGAAGGAAGGAAGGAAGGAAGGAAGGAAGGAAGGAAGGAAGGAAGGAAGGAAAGAAGGAAAGAAACTATATGTGCCAGGGTTAAAGTCTCTGTTCGGCGGAAATGCTTCCCAACTCTGAACCTTAGAACCAAGGTGTTTTAAAAAACCATCTAGACCTAATGCTTCTGCACTGAAGTACAATTTTTAGAGAGAAAATCTGGGATATCAGACTCTATATCTAAGTCTGATATCTCTGAGAAAACTTTAATGAGTAGCCAGGCTGAGAGGCCTGATCTAGATGGTGTCTAATGCTCTCTCTTGCTCTGACTTGCTGACTCTTGGTATTCAAGAAAGACCTCTCACACAGGCTGCAGGGACAAGGAGACCCTCCAGTGCAGAATGTCAGCATGGGCTGTGTTTATTTCAGGCAGCAGGATAGTCAGTCTATCCACTTCAGATCAGCCACAGCTCTGGGGCCAGACCCTGCTCTGGTGCAGAATGTCAGCATGGGCTGTGTTTATTTCAGGCAGCAGTACAGTCAGTCTATCCACTTCAGATCAGCCACAGCTCTGGGGCCAGACCCTGCTCTGGTGGCTGCAGACTTTCATTCATATTTGCAGAAGTCTTTAAGTCCTTCAGGGAGGTGGAGCCCATCGATGGCCAGCCGGTGTACTACGTTCCTCTGGATCACTAGGCGGCACAGAGTCTGCAGAGATGGCACTGTGGAGAGAAGGACGTCAAATGCAAACTGGACTGGAAGGGACTGACTGGAACTGAGAAAAATCTAGGTTGCGTGGAAATTCTTCTTTCTTTTCTTTTTTTTTTTTTTTTGTCAGCCATGGGGTTTGAACTCTGGGCCTGGGCTCTGTCCCTCAGCTCTTCAGCTCAAGGCTAGCGCTCTACCACTTGAGCTACAGCGCCACTTCCAGTTTTTCTGGTGGCTCATTGGAGATAAGAGTCTCACAGACATTCTTGCCCCAGCTGGCTTCGCACCGTGATCCTCAGATCTCAGCCTCCGGAATAGCTAGGATTACAGGCGTGAGCCACCAGCGCCAGGCTGAACGCAGAAAATTATTTTGCTCAGGTTCATCCTACTTTGTGCAGGCTATGCCTGTGATTGAAACTAACACCTTTTCTTGAGATTTTTTTTTTTTTTTTGGTTGGTCGTGGGGCCTGAACTCGGCCTGGGCACTGCCCCTTAGCTCTTCAGCTCAAGGCTAGTGCTGTACCACTTGAGCCACAGCACTACTTTCGGCCTTTTCTGCTTATGTGGTGCTGAGGAATTGAACCCAGGGCCTCAGGCATGCAAGGCAAGCACTCTACCACTGAGCCACCTCCCCAGCCCTTGAGATTTTTTTTTTTAACCAGGCTGTAGCTGGTTGTCTCCCTCCTTCACTTAGCAGCTTCAAGCTAGTGTCTGAATTGCCTATGTAACCACAGCCTTAGTGTAGAACAGGTTTTAGTTCACTGAGTTCATGAAATGTGATCAAAGTTTAATGGAGTCTGGCACCAGTAGCTCACACCAGTAATCCTAACTACTCAGGAGGCACCTAGGCCCTGAATTCAAGCCCCAGAATCAGTGTGCACACACATGTAGGCATGCACACACATGTAGGCATGCACGCACGCGCGTACACAGAGGTTTAATGGCTGTGATAAACCAGACTTTAGTTCTTAATCTGTGATGCCTCTAAACTGATAGGCCAGGCTGGGCATGTGGCTTAGTGGTAGAGTACTTGCTTAGCATGCATGAAGCATTTGATTCCTTGGTACCACATGAACAGAAAAAGCCAGAAGTGGCGCTGTGGCTAAGTGGTAGTGTGCTAGCCTTGAGCAAAAGAAGCTCAGGGACAGTGCCCAGGCCCTGAGTTCAAACCCCAGGACTGGCCAAAAGTAAATAAGCTCTTAGGGCTAAATTCATTATGTACTCATTTTTCTTTAAAGGGACTGAATTTGGACCTTGGTATTGCTAAGCAGGCGCTCTATCGCTGAGCACCTATGACCTATCTTCAGCCCTATAATAATTTTTCTAATAAAGGAACACAGAAACTTCTCAAGAAACCCAAGATCTAAAATTAGTTTAGAATCCCCATGCTACTCAAATACCGGAAGTTGCTTAGACTAAAAGGGGCCTGCAGAGAAATTTTGTTTTGTTTTTGTCATTGTGGGGCTTGAACTCGGCCTGGGTGATGTTCCCGAGTTCTTTTTTGCTCAAGGCCAGCCCTCTACCACTTGAGCCACAGCACCACTAACAGCCGTTTTACTGAGTAGTTTACTTGCGGGTGAGAGCCTCAGGGACTTTTCTGCCCAGGCTGGTAGACCTCAGACTTCAGCTATCTCAAGTACAGCTGGGCCAAGAGCAAAGCCAGGGAGTCCTAGCAGATCCCTGTCCCCACTGTGGATCAGGGCGTGGGTACCTACATCCATACTCAAGCTGGACCAGGCGCACACTCTTGGTGGAAGCAAACACGTCCACCACGGCGTAGAGGGGCTGGGAAGCTGGCAGCCCTCGGGCGCTGGGGCCCATGTCCTCGCCATTGACGACGATGTGCATGTCGGCGGTCCCATCCCGGTGGGGGCAAAAGAGGACGCCCAGGCGGCTGCGGCGCGCGGTGGGAGGCAGCACGTTCAGCTCGTAGAGCTGGTCCAGCAGGTGGCTGTAGCGGCCCGGCCGGCTGCGGCCCACCAGGCGGTCCCGCGGGAGTCGGAACTGCTCCACGCACAGATAGGGCTCCAGCAGGAGGGCGGCGGGGCGGCCGGGGGCCAGCACCTCGGCCTCGGGCTGGCCCTCCCGGGGCACCCGGTTATGGTGGCGCGTGATGGCGAAGACCCAGGTGTGGCCCAGGCTGACCAGGTCGGGCAGGGAAAACTCGGGCACGGTGGCCAGACCGGCGGGGTCCAGCGCCGTCAGCCCGAGGCGCAGGTGGCCGCACCAGCCCGGCTCTTTCTCCTCGATCTCCACCAGGAACACCTGGCCGGGGGCCAGCGGCTCGCGGCTGAAGCACACGCCGTGGGCGAAGCTGTCCACGCGCGTGGCCCGCGTCCCCGAGGGGTCCAGGCGGATGTTGGCTCCGTGCACCCGATGGAAACGGGTGGGAGGGGGCTCGGGACGCGCGGCGCCCCCGGGGACGCCCCACGGCGCGGCGTCCCAGGCCGCCGCCATCGCCCCGCCCCGGGGCGGGCCAGCGGGCGCCCGCGACTATTTCGGGCGTGGGGCTGAGGGTGACCGCGGAGGGGCCCATGTAAGGCGCTTCCCTCTGCGCCCGTCCCGGAGGCGCCGCCCGGGGGTCCTAGCGCCGCGGGCCCGGCCATCGTCCCGCGCCCCGGGCCCGGGAACCTGGCTGGCCACGCCCAGATCACCTGACCACCTGATCCACACCCCGAGGACCTTGACCGGGCCACGATCGCCCCCGCCGCTCACGTCCACAGAAGCAAAGATAAAAGAAGGGGTGGAGGGAATGGAGGCCGTCACGTGACGCGACACCCACGTGACCTCGGGCACACATGACTTCCAGTCTCCCGGCGCCTCCCGGACAGCAAGGACGCAGGGGAGCCGAGGTGAAGCCTCCGGGGCTGGAGGGGTCCGGGGCTGCAGGGGATCCCCGGTGCCGGGGGCGGCGGGCGGCGGCGCGGGAGGGCCGGGGAGCGGGTCACCAGCCGCTTTCCTCTCCAGATGGTCCGAGCCGCGCTGCCGCCGCCGAGCCTGCTGCTGCCGCTGCTGCTGCTGCTGCCGTGCTGGGCGCCCCGAGGCCAGGCAGCCCCCGACCAGGACGAGATCGAGTGCCTCCCGGGGCTGGCCAAGCAGCCGTCCTTCCGCCAGTACTCCGGCTACCTCAAAGCCTCGGGCTCCAAGCACTTCCACTACTGGTCTGCGGCCCTGGCTCCCGGGGCGGGCGGCGGGCGGCGGGCGGCGGGCGGCGGGCGGCGGGCGGGCGGCGGGCGGCGGGCGGCGGGCGGCGGGCCGGCGCTGGTACTCGGCCCCCCGCGGAGCGCGGCGCCGGGCGGAGGGGTTCTGAAGGGCGGCGAGCGCCGGGGGGACCCCTCTGCCGGCTGCACCAACTCCGCCCTGACCCTCCCCAGGTTTGTGGAGTCCCAGAAAGATCCGAAGAGCAGCCCTGTGGTCCTTTGGCTCAACGGGGGGCCCGGCTGCAGCTCCCTGGACGGGCTTCTCACCGAACACGGCCCTTTCCTGGTGAGTGGATGCCGCTTCCCACCCCCACTCCCGCCCACAGCCCCGGAGGGAAGGGACAGCTTTCTAGGGAAGAAGCTGGGGAAGGGGAAGACAGACTCTGTTTTCCTTCTTCCTGAGCCTTAGAGAGAGTCTCACACGCGCACGCGCATGCGCCGGTCCTGTGCTTGAACGCAGGGTTAGGGCTCTGTCCTTGAGCACTTTTTTTTTTTTTTAATGCCGGTCCTGGGGCTTGAACTCAGGGCCTGGGCACTGTCCCTGAGCCTTTTTGTGCTCAAGACTAGCACTGTACCACTTGAGCCACAGCTCCACTTCCAGCTTTTTGGTGTTTGATCAGAGATAGGGAGTCTCATGACTTTTCTGCCCAGGCTGCCTTTGAACTGTGATCCTCAGTTCTCAGCCTCCTGAGTAGCTAGGACTATGGAGGACTGCGGGCGTGAGCCACCAATGCCTGGAAAGCCTTAGTATTGTTTTCATCTCTACCTCTCAGGGTTTTGCCCGTGTAAGGGGCCTGGCATAACCCTTCCCTTCATTTGTTTGGCCCTCGGGACTCCCTCAGCCGTGTCTTTCTTCCTCAGATCCAGCCAGATGGTGTCACTCTCCAGTACAACCCCTATTCTTGGAACCTGGTATGTGGGCCTATGAGGGTGTCTGGGTACTTGAATGGAATGGGGAGCCCTCTTCAGTGCATTTCTTCTTCCCCCACTAGATTGCCAATGTGTTATACATTGAATCCCCAGCTGGTGTGGGCTTCTCCTACTCTGATGACAAGGTTTTTTCCACCAATGACACTGAGGTGAGTCTAAAGCCTGTCCAAGCTTCTTGGTTCTCCAAGGTGGCAGGGATGAGGAGACAGGCAACGTGGTCTTGGAGTCTACTGTTGGCTCCATTCCAAGCTATATGATATGGTCATAGCCAAGTCACTTCCTCTTGCACAAACTAGGTGTGTTGGTCTCATTTTCTGTGAGGACCTGAGGTCAAATACCAGACCTGATTCTCTCCTTTTGGTATCCCCAGGTAGCCCAGAGCAATTTCGAGGCCCTCAAAGACTTCTTCCGCCTGTTTCCAGAGTACAAGGACAATAAACTTTTCTTGACTGGCGAGAGTTATGCTGGCATCTACATTCCCACACTGGCCGTGCTGGTCTCGCAGGACGCCAGCATGAACCTTCAGGTACCGAAGGGAAGGGAGGCACCTTGCGGTATAGATTTGTACTTAGCAAGGTCACCTGATCAGCATACACATCAGCCTAGTCTTCTTCATGGCTGCCCGGTCTCTGTTTGCACATCTCCTACCACAGGAGGCTCACCTGTCAAGCTACCAGCTTGGTTTTTCAGATGGAGTAGCCTCATCCACCCCCACAAACCACCCTGGCTCTCAGCTACCAGATTGCAGAGGATCTAGATGTAGGTCAAGGGTGGTTCCTACTTATCCCACTCTCCGGGTGAACTGATGGCCCTGGGTGTTTCGCAGGGGCTGGCTGTGGGCAACGGACTCTCCTCCTATGAGCAGAATGACAACTCGCTGGTTTATTTTGCCTACTACCATGGCCTTCTGGGGAACAGGTATGGGAGAGGGGCTGTTGGGCAATCTCTAGGGTGGGTCAGGTCATACGATATTACATTCATCCTCCAGGCACATGCTATTCCAGATCCTTTCCTGGTTTATTAGCAGGTAGGGCCTAAGGTTGCCTGAAGTTTGGTGTTAAATCAGGATTTAAAGAGACTAAGAGGGCCAGGAATGTAGGTCAAGTGGTAGAATGCTGCATAAAAATGAGATTAAGGAGCCACGTGTCAGTGGCTCAAGCCTGTAATGCTAGCTACTCCGGCAGCTGAGATCTGAGGATCACAGTTCAAAGCCAACCCGGTCAGGAAAGTCCTTGAGACTCTTATCACCAATAAACCAATAGGAAACCAGGCCAAGGCACCGGTAGCACATGCCTGTAATCCTACCTACTCAGGAGGCTGAGTTCTGAGGATCACGGTTCAAAGCCAGCCTGGGCAGGAAAGTCTGAGACTCTTATCTCCAATAAAAACCACTAAAAAACAGGAAGTGGCATTTTAGCTCTAGCGGTAGAGCGCTCGCCTTGAGCTGAAGAGCTGAGGGACAGCGCCCAGGCCCAGAGTTCAAGCTCCATGACCGATCAAAATAAAAAAGAAAAGAAAGAAAAAAAAGAAAACTGGAAGTGGCGCTGTGGCTCAAGCGGTAGAGTGCTGGCCTTGAGCTGAAGAGCTGAGGGACAGCGCCCAGGCCCAGAGTTCAGGCCCCACAACCGACAAATATGAATAAATAAATAAATAGTAAAACATTTGGTGAACTACACACCCTGTGATAGCTTTCCTAGACCCCTGGGGTGAGGCCCTGGCTGGGGGCGGGAGGAAGGGGGACACTTGCTACACTGCTCACATGGGCTTAAGTGCCTGCTCTGACTTGTCGCAGGCTCTGGTCTTCGCTGCAGACCCACTGCTGCTCTCAGAACAACTGTAACTTCTACGACAACAAAGACCCAGAATGTGTAACTAGTGTAAGTGTCTGCCCCCACTCTGTCAGCCCTGGACTGGAATCCTGAAGACACCCTCCTAGAGGAGTCCTTTTCCTCCCTCAGCACCATTATCCTTCGATCCGGTAACAACACAGCAATGCAGTGTTCTCCGGGAACACCCTAGGAGGAAACTGAGGCCAAGATTGTTTAAAAGTCACAGTGATAGGAAGCAATAGTGCTAGGATTGGGCTCAGATCTGGAAGATTCTTTCCACTGAGCCTGAGTGTCCTTCCCTGTGAAAGAATGGGAGAAGGCCGGGCGCTGGTGGCTCACGCCTGTAATCCTAGCTACTCAGGAGGCTGAGATCTGAGGATCGCGGTTCAAAGCCAGCCCGGGCAGGAGAGACCGTGAGACTCCTATCTCCAATAAACCACCAGAAAAACCGGAAGTGGCGCTGTAGCTCAAGTGGTAGAGCGCTCGCCTTGAGCTGAAGAGCTGAGGGACAGCGCCCAGGCCCAGAGTTCAAGCCCCACGACCGACAAAAAAAAAAAGAAAGAAAGAATGGGAGAAAGGTGTCCCAAGGAGGCTGAGGTGTGAGAGCACTGAGCCTTGCAGGGACTCCGACTTCAGTGGGTGAGGTGTGAGGTGTGGACCAGGGATCTGTGTGTGTGGGTGAGGTGTGGACCAGGGATCTGTGTGTAAAGCACGCTGGTGTGTCGTCACAGCTGCAGGAAGTGTCTCGCATCGTGAGCAGCTCTGGCCTCAACATCTACAATCTCTACGCCCCGTGCGCTGGGGGGGTGCCCAGCTCTTTTAGGTAAGTCCTGCTGTGTATCCCTTGGCTCCAACCCCAGCTGGGTGGAGACCCAGCTCCCAGCCCCTCATTTCACTTGTAGGTATGAGGCCGGCACACTCGTGGTCCAGGATTTGGGCAACCTCTTCACTCGCATGCCATTCAAGCGCCTGTGGCATCAGGTGTGTGCCATGGCCTGGGCTTCCTCTTCCTTGGAGCGGGGGTGAGGGCAGGTAGACAAGCCGGGCCCCTGACCCTGTGTCTGTCTGTGTCTACAGGCATTGCTGCAGCGGTCAGGGACCCGGGCACGCATGGATCCCCCCTGCACCAACACCACAGCCGCCTCCACCTACCTCAACAACCCCTATGTGCGCAAGGCCCTGCACATCCCCGAGCAACTGCCTCGCTGGGACATGTGCAAGTGAGCTTCAGTGGCCGCTGCGGCTCAGGGTGTGGCAGGCCCCTGGGGCCCATGGCATCCCCGGCATCCCCAGGGGGTTCTTAAGGTGGGGGAGGGACAGTATAGATACCAGAATATGAAAATTAACTGTAAGGTAGGACCTCTCTCTCTCTCTCTCTCTCTCTCTCTGGTTCTGGGGCTTGAACTCAGGTCCTAGGCACTGCCCCTTGGCTTTTTTGCTCAAGACTGGCCCTCTACCACTTGAGCCACAGCTCTACTTGGAACTTTTTGTTACTTACAGATGAGTCTCACAGACTTCCCTGCCCAGGTTGGCTTTAAACCAGGATCCCCAGATCCCAGCCTCCTGAGTTGCTAGGATTATAGGTGTGAGCCACTGACAACTGACAGAATCTTTTTTGTTGTTGTTGGGAGGGCTATAGCCAAAAAATGTTACAAGTTTCTAAATGAGGATCTGTGAATGCCAGAGATCCAGTTAAGTCCTAGAAAGGCAACTGGCTAAAGGGGGGAGATTT